AGTGGCTGTGCTCACATGCGTCCGCGCCACTCATTACAGCGTTTCGTGGCCCTATACGGACTTCCACCGAAGGCCCCAGCGGCTGTGATCACATGCGTCCGCGCCACCCGGTACAGCGGTTCGTGGCCTGATCAAAGGGATCCCCACCGAATGCCCCAGCGGCTGTGATTACTTGTGTCCGCGCCCGAGAGTAGAGCGTTTCGTGGCCCCATAGGGAGCTCCACCGAAGGCCCCAGTGGCTGTGGTCACATGCGTCCGCGCCACCCATCACAGCGTTTCGTGGCCCCATAGTGAGCTCCATCGAAGGCCCTGGTGGCTGTGATTACGTGCGTCCGCGCCACCTGGTACAGAGTTTTGCCGCCTGCCCTTGGGGAGCGCCACCGAAGGCCCCGGTGGCTGTGATCACATGCGTCCGCCCCGCCCAGTACAGCGGTTCGTGGCCCAAAAAGGAACTCCACCGAACGCCCCAGTGGCTGAACCCCACCGAAGGCCCTTGTGGCCGTGATCACATGCGCCCGCGCCCAGGATTACAGCGTTTCGTGGTTCCATAGGGAGCTCCACTGAAGGCCCCAGTGGCTGTGGTCACATGCGCCCGCGCCCAGGATTACAGCGTTTCGTGGTTCCATAGGGAGCTCCACTGAAGGCCCCAGTGGCTGTGGTCACATGCGTTCGCGGCCGAGAATACAGCGCTTCGTGGCCCCATAGGTAGCTCCACCGAAGGCCCCAGCGGCTGTGATCACATGCGTCCGCGCCACCCCAGAACAGCGGTTCGTGGCCTCAGACGGAGCTTCAGCGAAGGCCCCAGTGGTTGCGATCACACGCGGCCGCGCCACGGAGTGCAGCGCTTCGTGGCCCCATAGGGAGTTACACCGAAGGCTTCAGTGGTTGTGATCACATGCGTCCGCGCCGCTCTACAGCGTTTCGCGGCCTGCCCCGAGGGAATTCCGCCGAAGGCTTGTGTTGCCGTGATCAGATGCGCCTGCGCCACCCAGTACAGCGCTTCGTGGCCCTATAGGGAGTTCCACCGAAGGCCCTAGTGGTCGCGATCACATGCGTCCGCGCCAATCTACAGCGTTTCGTGGCCTGCCCCCAAGGAAGTCCACCGAAGGCCCCAGTTGCCATGATCACATGCGCCCGCGCCACCCAGTACAGCGTTTCGAGGTCTGCCCGTAGGGACCTCCACCGGAGGCCTTGGCGGCGGCGTCCACATGCGCCCCCGCACCCATGTGAGCATACCCCCATGCGTTTCGTGGTCCCACAAGGAACTTCCGTTCCTTCGTTCCACCACCCTTGTAGTGCTGACAAATGCATATGGGTGGGTGCTTCGCCAAAATAATTTCTCAACCATTTTCCGTGACACACCGGCCCGTGGGTTTCCTTTAGTTGTGCGCGCGCCCTACGAGAAAAATACTGCGTGGAAATGCACACTTGGTTGTGAGGCCCAGAGTGTCAGTTTTTGTGTATATTTATGTATATAAGTTGTTATCCCCAAATAATTTTCTGGTGACCCACCCGCTCGTGGGGCACCTCCTGTGGTGCGCGCGCCGTGCGGTGAACATGTGGCGCGGGAATGGATCACCTTA